ATGATGAACATTCATGCCAAGGTCAAAGAGGCCATTGAAAAGAACAATTCAAAGGTGGCCATTAGAAAGAATCGAGGGAGAAAGGAAGTGATCCTCAATCCAGATGATTGGGTGTGGGTGCATTTCCGAAAGTAGAGGTTTCCACAAGTACGAAAAGGAAAGCTAAGCCCAAGAGGGGATGGACCCTTCAAAGTACTCAAGAGAATCAATGACAAAGCTTACATGATTAACCTACCAAGTGAGTATAATGTTCATAATGTTTTCATTGTTAGTGATTTATCTCCTTGTGTTGTAAGTGATCCTTTGGATTCGAGGACGAATCATTTTTAAGAAGGGGAGGATGATAACATGGGCAGCATAGATGACACTAACATGAGTGGCATATACCCCTCAAGACCATTCACACGAAGTCAAGCAAAGGATCTCCAAGGCCTACAAGCAATGTTCATGAAAAGGGAAGCATTAGAGGAGTTTGAAGGTCACCAAAGAAGGACATACAATGTGTGTAAGGTACATCAAAATGAGAAGGAAAAAGGAAAGAGGCCATGTGTGCAAATGACCATTTCATGAGTTCAAGAATTCACAAAAGAAGGCAACCAAACAAGGCCTTTATCTCATTAAGGGTAAAATTGTCAAAAAGTGTCTTGTTTATTTTTTTAGTATAAATAGTAGTCTCTTTTATTTTGGGAAGACTTAGACTATATTGAATATTGACTCTCAAATTATAGTTTCTTCTTAGTGAGTAATTAGTGAGTAATTAGGGTGAACTCTTGGGATTGCTTGTTAACTTCTTGTGTTTGATTAATCAAAGTGTTACCCCTTTGTGATTCTTGGTTTCATTTGATTATTCTTCCTTGGGTTGAATTTAGGTTGTTGAAGTCAATTAGGAGGTGAGGATTTTAGTCCCTTGTTGCCCATAATTTCAATAACTTGAGTATTAATCCACATATCCTTTCTTTCTTTATTTCTTTCCTTTCTTGATCGTTATCAGCCTGCCTCATCCAATTTGTCGTCGGTTGCCCGTTTGAGTTCGTTTAAAGTGCACTTTCACTCCTTTTCAATTCTAACTACTCTAAGCTACTTCTAAACACCTAAAATCATTCCAAACATGATCATAACCTTGAATTCATAAATCAAATTCAATGTAGAGTTGAGAGTCAAGTTTGAGAGTTGTTTCAAACCTTTTTTATAAGGTCCCTTGGAGTCTTTTTTAGGAGTCTTCTACAATTACTAGTAACTTGTTTCAAGACTCGAGCAAGTGAGTATGAGGATGAGGAGAATGCATTCATGAATTTAGTTTGTCATCATGAGATCCTTCATATCATGAACCAAAACTCTTGAATTCATAATTCACATTCATGAGAGAGTTAAGAGTAAAGTTCAAGTAAACCTTTGAGTTCAATTGTGAATCCTTTGAGATCAACTATCGATTTGAACTAAGTTCTGAGAAAGTAAGTAAGAGAACGAGAAGAGTCGTATACATGAGTCCATGTTGTTATGTAGATCATCGAGTCGAGTTGTTTCATGCCCATAATTCCGCATGAAGTTCGTAAGTTGAGCATCTTTCAGAGAAGTGGTATCTTCAAGTTTTAAGCCTTTAAGTGTTGAGTTCCTAAGCCCTTTTGAGAAGTATCTTTGAGTTCTTGAGTTAAGAAGTTCATGCCTATAATTCCGCATGAACCCTTTGAGTTGAACATTCTTTAAATGAGTAGTATCATTGAAGTTCTTAAGTTCGAAGTATTGAGTTTTATCTATGGTTATTGAAAACCTTGCATTGAGTCATTCATGTCCCTAATTCGGCATGAACCATATTTTAAGGAGTCTTTTACAAATATTTTAACATTGTTTTAAGACTTAAGCTTTGAAGTTAAGTAAAGAGTAAGAGTAAAGTTTTTTATAAACGTTTTAACTTCGTTATAAGACTGAAAGTTTCAAGTTAAGCAAAGAGTAAAGAGTTGAATTCATTTCTCAAAAGTTATAAGGGAACTAAGTATTCCCTAAGAGTTTATAAATGTTTTTACACATTTGAGCAAGAAAAGGGAACATGATTCCAAGAGAGCCTTTGGGCTAGTTTTTAGTAAAGGAAACATTGATTCCAAAAGAGCCTTTGGGCTAAGCTTAAAGTAATTATCTCAAACTAAAGAAAGAGGTGTTTAAAACACATATGAGCTAAAGTATATTTTTGGGAGTGGTATTGAGCATCGAATTGGGGACGCGAGTTCATATTAACTCAAATCTCCATAAGAACCATGTGGCCAACATGGGATTTAACGGGTCATACTTTTTAGATGATCACGTAAGTTAAGATAGTGGATCCACTAAGTTAAGTTAAGGTTCTATACTGATGGCAAGGTATAAGATGGTCATTGGAAGCGCGAGGTAAAGTGTTGTATCATCACTATAACTCTTAAGTGATGGTTGTTGGTTAGAAAAACTCCCACAAAAGCTATTGTATTTTTATATACACAGTTATTTGTATTCCTACATACATTTCAGAGTTATGTTGTATTTTTGCATACACATAGAGTTGACATCATGTTTTTAAATAACTTTTCTTTATATTGCATTTTCTTTAAAATTTGTTTTATATTGAAATGAGTCCAGTTATGTTGAGTATTTCAAGTTGAGTACCTTAAGTTGAGTATCTTAAGTTGATTTGTGCTTCATTGAGTCGAGTATCATATCTTTGAAGTGGAGTATCTAATCCTTGAGTTGAGTAGCTTATTCTTAAGTTGAGTTGAGTTCAATGAGTTTGAAAAGAGGTAAGTATGTTTCTTTTTTGTCAAGTTCAATCTTATGTTATGTTTTAAAATTCCCCTTGCATGCTCGTACATTCCACATACTGAGTCATTTGGCCTGCATCTTCTCATGATGCAGACACAAGTATTCAGGATCATCAACAGGAGCTTCGTTGATATATCCGGGAGTTCAAGTTAACTATGGTGAGCCTCCTTGTTTTCGGAGGATTTCATTTACTTTTCAGTTTAGTTAGGATGTCGTGGGTCTTGTCTCGACTTCCATCTTTATCAGTTAGAGGTTTCATAGATAGTCAGTATATTTAAGAAGTCTGTATTATTCATTTTATTAAATATTTTAAAGACTTAAGTTGCCTATTTTATGGCGAGTTGAATATTATTTTTATATTCAGAGTTTTTCATTTGAGTTAAAGTTTTGTATTTCTGTTTCATGAATTTTATTCAATTTTTAAGTTTTTGCATGCTTAAGTTAGTCTTCCGCTTGTAGTCAGCCAGGATGAGGTTCGCTTGGGGACCAGCAATGGTCTTCGAGTGCCGACCACGTCCAGGGTGTAGGCTCGGGTCGTGACACATAATTTGTATTTAAATTTTAATATTTAAAACTTAAAAAAAAAAATTGGACTCTTGTTATTTTTAATACTCTATCTTTTTATTTGTTTTAAAATTATTTTTATTTGACCCACGGATCGAGCCTACTCATATTTCTCAAGCCCAACAAATCCGCAGGCTTTTTCAGGCCGGGCTAAATAGTAATTTTCTTAAATGGACTCCAAAAATCTTAACCCAACTTTATCAAATCACTGCCTAGGCCAGGCCAACCCAACGGTTGACGGCTCTAGCTTTAAGGATATACACAATCCAAAAGATTGACATTAAAGATACATACAACATAAAAGTATAATTCACCGCTAGTTACTGTAACATACTTTAATTTTTATACAATTTTCTATTGTAATTTTTGTTCAAAATCAACACAAATCTCTACCTAGTGACTTTAAATTTTGTGGACAAACACCTTAGGATATTTTCGATAAATCTAAATAGTAGTCACTCAAAAATTCTCATAAAAACCAAATTCAAACCTATATTTTCAAGTTTGTTCAATAACGATGGGTTATTTTTTTAATACGATTTTCACTACCCAAATCTTAAAACCAATACTACAACCACTATTTGAGCTTCAAATATACTTATTAACCAAGTTTGTCAACTAACAATCAAGAGACGGTTGGGTAGAAGAAGAAAAATAGGAAAAGTGACCTAATTTTCAAATTATATACAATATGAGCAAAAGTTAATAATTATGATCCATTTTGATTATAAGCTTGGAGCAGATGAGTGAGAGTGTAAGAATTATTTGTCTTGTTGATGCAAATTACATTAAAAAAAAATTATATGTTTGAAATCCAATAAAAGGTGAGGTACCAAAAGAAAGTTTTGACCTCTAATCTCTGATAATCGTAGCAATGAAATCTTTCCTTTTCAGTGAACCCCTCCTTTTTAATCCAACAAGGCAACATTTCATATTGGGTGTGGGGTTTCCATCAAATGATATGAAGTGGAGAACAATAAACTAGTTATATCACAGATTTTAACTTATGATTTAAGTTATGTGTAGTGACAATATGAATATTACATAATCAAATTATTTAAAAGTTAAATACCGGTAAACATTTTATAATAGTTAAATCAAAGTACATACATATTAAGTTGAATCCTTTACTTTAGCTAATACCACTCAAACACCTCTATAAGGTTTTCAATTCATATGAATAGTAGAAGAACATGATTCTTTTTGGGATAGACACTAACAAGAAATTTAAATGTGAAACTCCAACATGACAACTTTGATATAGCTAGGTGTTTTAGGTACTTCAATGTTGCCTAATTGTTCAAGTCCATTTATGTTTATTGCTTCTGTGAACATAGTAGCTAAATAATCTCAACGTGTTACATAAGACAAATATTGTATAATTATTCGATTTCCCACAATTTTCTTCACCATAGAGTAACAAAAATTTCACTTTCCTTTGGGTATTGAAAAAAGATTTTCTCCCAACTTACTCATAGTCTTTACAAAGCAATCCCTCCCTTCCTAGTTTCAAAAGTGTAAAGGTTAAATCAGTTATCACTCCAATGTATGAATTTTCTCAATAGAGAATACTCATTTGGAAATTTCTCTTCCAAAAGATACAAACAACATTTGAGAACTATTTGTCTTGCATCTAAGAAGAAGAAAAAAACTAGTAGGTTGCTACAAAATACAACAGAGATTACATCAACAACTTATGCCACAGGGAGAAGTCCATGGCTCATCTTCAATGAATGCCTTGAAAGAGGCAACTCAGTACAAAAATTATATCAACAATCATCTGCTTTATTGCCCCAGTGAATTCAATTCTATGCAACATGTACGTAGAATCGTATTTAGAATGGCGTGTTAGTTGTAAGGTCTGCAATATACATGTTAGTTTGTAAGGTTTGCAATATGGAGTATCAGTGGCAACGTACTAAAACAAAAAGATAAGAATAAGATTTTTACCTGTGAAAAGCAAGGATAAAGAATGAGAAGGAAGTTGCCTCGGGTGCAAAGTGGAGAACAAAAGCCTTATCAGTAACAAAAGAAGAAGATGGTGAAACTTAAGCAGATTCATCTAACAATGGAACAAAGCTTGGCTGAGAATCATTGGACTTCGAAACTGCACTTAGGCTGCAAGCAACAGAATAATACCAGAATTTAAAGATATACTTTTTTTAAAAAAAAGTTTTTTTTTTTTACCCTCCCTAGGAGCTCCCATCCCTTTTGCTCCCTTGGTGACTCGAACTCACAACCTTCGGATTGGAAGTGAGGGGTGCTTACCATCAGGGACAGGCATAAATTGCAAAATAATAATAATAATAATAATAATTTATGAGCAAAGGGTTCTATTAGAGGTCACACATGCTTTGACACCTTATTTACTTTGTCAACCATTATATACAAGTAGTAAATATCAAATAAATGGGATAATGAGATACCTTTCCCAACAGCTTCAGTAAGATCTTGACATGGGAATGAATTTCAGATACATAAACATTGTTTGAATTTGTATCTTAAAATAAAAGCAAGAGCATTTTCATTCATGTTCGCTCAATCTTTTAATTGTTCGCTATAGTCTGAAGACTGAGGAGCAAGGAACACAAATTTCTCTGACTTCAGTTAAAAATCGTGTTCTAACTAACTAGACAAGAGATACCAAAATATTATTGAAGTTCTCATCGATGATGAAAATGAGCTCGATGCCCTTATCTTTAGTTGTCTTATATCCACAAGTTCAAATGTCAGAGGTTCTATACGGAAAATAGTTGAAGCTAAACCCCGTACACGTGATGCAATAAACGATGATGAGACTGGAACAGATCAAAGAAAATGATATTTCTTTTCCCACCTGTTAATTTTGCTTCAACTACAAAATGACAAGGAAAATGCAGCATATCATAATTAATTGAAGGAAAAATAAGTAGAAAAGCCTTTTCTATGAAGAGATCTTAATAACAGAATCTGACTTTGGAATCATTCTACATGAATGGGACAAGTCCAAAAGGATTTCTAACCAGAACATTACATATATGTCCCTCAGTAATCTAATAAATAGTGAGGTCAAATTGATACTTCCATTCAAGCGTTTTTACATATTAATTCTTTATAACCTCACCTACAAGGCGATTTAAAAGTAATTCCTAAAAGAACCTTTCTTAAACTTTAGTAGAATGAAAGTGAATCAGAATGTTGAGTTAATCACAAAATCTTGTCCAAACCAATTTACCTGAGTGTTTTTTGCTGTTTTTCTTCTATTGGGATAATTGTGGCCTTGCAACCTAACATCCTTGTTTTCTTTCTAAAACATGTTGGATAGCTGACCTCAACTTGTTCTGGACTGAAGAGTAGTCGCTTGTCGTAGTTCCAAACACATACAGGCATGTAAAGAAAACAATGTGATTTCCACTCTCCTCTTGGTCAATATGAAATGTATTTGTAGTAGTAGTTCTTAACTTCTTATGATAGATCTCCTTAATATTAATAATTTATTATCCTTTTAACCAAAAATAAATAGATAAGGTGTTCAATATTTATAATTAACCAAGTCTTGAATGCTCCAAAAGCCACAAAACCTGCTTACAAGCTTGAAAAAATTCAAGACGAAGTGATAGATACATATCCTAGCTATATGAATACTGCCCTAGGCCAACTCAACAAATTAGATATTTGGAACCAAAAGAATTTCTACTGTGCAGTTTACAAGGTGTTTCCTCTCATCATAGAATGTGCCATATCCAGAATAGGTCTGTTCCTCAACACCATAAAAAGCGCCAACTGACCTTACCTCAACTAGTACAAATATGTGGATATTTAAGCAGTCTACTTCATGTTCACTTTTCAGGCCCAAACCATGAAACTAATAATGACTTCCTTCTAAGCAGAATTGTTTGCTTTCGCTTGAATAATGGATTAAAGAACAAACTGTTGGTGTTTTCCTATTCTGTTTTAATCTTTTAAATTTTTCATCTTTCTTGGAAAGTGGTGGTTGGTGGAACCTCCACATAATAGTTTATACTAATTTACAACATATAGTATCCAGAATAAGAAAAATAATTAGTGCACTACTATTCCAACTACTAAAATACAAAGTCTGATCTCATGGCATCCATCATTAGGTACAAATTGATTTCTTTAAAAGAAGAATCAAAAGATCCCTTTGGATCTTCCCATGATCATGATGTACACATTCACCCAAAAACATAAACAAGCCAATAAAATGACAATAAAAAATAAAGCATTATACATAAACATACACTCAAACTCGGCCTCCACTAGCAAGTAAGCACTCTCAACTTTGAGAGTGCACATCTAGACACCTCAATTTGGTCTCAATTGGCAACTAAACACTTCAACGTGTCCCTGTTGTGTCTCATGGACACCGATGATGACATGTCACATAAATTTGGTGGGAGTTGTTTAGAGGATCATTTTGTAAGTTGGAGTGTTCAACTACAAGACGAGTTGAAGGGTCTAGTTGTGCATACTCAAAGTTGGAGTATTTACTTGCAAGCTGAGACCAAGTTTTTAATGTTTGTTTATTTATTATGACATAAAAAAAATTGCTACTTAACACCAACCTCAGATTCCAAGTAACTTCCATTGGCACTAGGCCCAGCAACATGTTCATGAGGTCTAATGACTAAAGAATGAAGATCTTCCAAAGACAAAGCTCTCTTCCTCTCTTGAACACAATCTTTAGTCCTATTCTGCATACTGAACAACACATTATGCCAAGTATTAACTCTTGAACGACCTTTTTTAGGCAACCCCACATTCATATCTCCCAAATCCTCTGCTGTAACACTTAGAATTTCCTCTGGTTCTGCCCCATCAAGCACCCACATCAAGCAAGAGCAAAACCCTTTAGTAATTTCTGAATCACTATCTACACTAAACTTCATAGAACCCCTATTATCCATCCTCGCCTCTAACCACACCTGTGTTGTACAACCCAAAACTCGATTTTCCTGAACCCTAACTGACTCACATAATGGAGAGAGAATACTTGCATAGTGTAATAATCTTTTCACTCTATCAATTGGTTCTGATAAGGACCTAAATTCCAAAGATAAACTATGAACTTTGTCAACAACACTTAACCTCTCCTCCAATGGCGCTTCTTCCATAATCAAGCAAGAAGCTGATGACAGCCCAGGTCTTTTATTTCTTAAACATTGCATAGAAGTGAAAAAGATTGGATTTTTACTACAAAATTGAGGATTTGGCTTGGTGGGTGTCGATGAAATCGTCAAGAAAGAAGATGGGTACTTCAGAAAAGTGAAAAAGATTGGTTTTTTGAGACAGAATTGAGGATTTAACTTAGTGGGTGTATATGAAATTGTGAATGGGAAATTGAGATTAGAAGAAGAGTCCATGTTTGGTTAAAGATGAAGAAAATTGGAGAGAAAAGAGGGTAAAGAATTGAAATAAAAGATTTGTGACAGTTAGAAGTTGGAGAATCAGAGATAAAAACGAGAAGAAGATCCTTGAACTGCGGGAGATTTCATTTCAGGTAGAAAAAGTATAAAAGGAAAATGAATAAAATGGCGATAAATGATGAAGAAGAAGAGAAATAAGGTGCAGTGGCATTTTATAGTTTTATAATCCCAAGGTGGTTGGAGATTTCATCCTAAAAAAAAAATTAAAATAAAATAAAATATATATATATATATACAAAAAGTAAATAAGGCGCCAAAAGTGGAAATATATTTTTATGTGGGTCTCCCCAATCTCATTTTTAAGTTTTTTTATTTCCATTTCTTAAGATTTTCTAACTTCAATTTGGTATTATATTTCACTCCTTGATTTCAAGTTCAGTAGCCAAATAGTTTTTGGTTGAAACTGAAATTAAAAAAAAAAAAAAAAAAATACTCCTTCAATTTATGTAACACTTTTTAGCCAATTTAAAAAACACATTTCGTAAATATTTAATGACATTATTAACACTTTATCTACGTTGAGTTTCATTTATTTGACAAAAAATGTACTTCTCTATTTAAAACCTCATTTATTTTAAAGAAAGATAGTTTTGGAATATTGAAAAATCTTCTCATATTTCTTAAATTTTGAGTTCAATCCAACTACAACACATAAGAGGGGATGAAGGGAGTTTTTGAAGTTGAAGTTAAAATAATTTTCCAATCACAAAACTTCAAAAAAGAAAGATAAAGATTTACATATATCCTGTGTTTTGACAAAAATAATTATTTTTTTCCAACTTCAACCAAATATTCCCAAAATGCTAGCACCTAAAAATTGGATTAAATATTTGATAACATGTTACAATTTTAGCAAGAAATCTTATTGTCAATGCAACACGTAGAAAAAGCAAGTGAATAACAATTGATGGACAAAATGACACTATACAATCCGTGCAAGCAAACAAGATTGATTAGTAGCAAAATTAACTTTGAATTCTTCAAGAATCTTACAAGATTAAGAAAAGTATTTTTAAATTTTTTTGTGCTTTTTTGGGAATTAATATGAACCAATAAAAAGAGTAACAAGACTATATCGAGTTTGAGGAGTTTTCTTTTGCTTCAAAACAAAGCTAAGATTGCAACCTACTCTACCCTCCTCTATAGACATCAATAGTTCCACAATTTAATTATGCTTCTTTGATATATTCCAATTTCCACATACACACACATGGGTAAATATGTAAAATGATACGATCCAGTTAAATTTTAAATATGATTTAAGAACATGCGAATTAAATTGACCTAATTATAAATAACAACAATTGATAGCAAATGAATTAAAAGATCAATAAGAAGTAAAATAATATATTGGTAGATGATCTTTATCAGCGTAATATCGATTACAACGATATCAACTTCAGATCTTTCTCGATCTAAGTTTTTCTCTTACTAGTCTTTTCCCAAAAATGTTATTCAACCCTATTATATCTTTATTGGACCGCTTTGACCGATCACTCTTGTTACGTATCACTGCATCATTTATCAACCTATTCAAAATTATTTTTACTTTAATATATATAAAGAAAATATTGTACTCTACTAGTCGAGGCAAAGAATCTATGTTAACATATCAACAAATTGAAATTAAGACTTTAGAATCATGTTGCTCAATTTTTTTTTAAGAACTCCAGTATTAGAGAGTACCTTTAAAAAGTGATAATATAAGAGAACTCAAATAAAATGAAACAAATATAAAGAATTCATCTAGTCAAAATATATCCTTTTAGTTTGGAACTAATGCTTAGCTATCATGTGTGTTTTTTTTTTAAAAAAAAAAATCATTAGTATTGTGTTAAAAGAAAATGGTTCATAAAGGAACTAGCAAAAAGTATAAAAAGGTAGCATGAATTAAAGCGATCGTTTGATCGACAAATTAAGGATAATAATTTTGTCTATCTCAATATCTCACTAATCAAACGATCTCGTAATTTATAATTTGACTAAATACAAACTATTGTCTACCCATAAATAAAACCTCTTTTATCCCTTAACTGAATTTACTAAACTTTATTGAAAAAGTAGATAATGTTATCCGTGCTATGCACGGGCCCAACAATATAAATGGTATGTTTTGGGGCTAATAACCGAGCTTTTGAAGCGATTGTTTACGTGGATAAAGGAATAAGTTTTTTTATCACAAACATGTACTTTCTTTGACGCTATTTAAGGCATAATAAGGCTACCCGCATACAACATTTTGTAAATATTTTATGTTGTCAATTATCATGATTTATAGTATTTTTACGATAGATTCACTTCAAGAATCAGTGGAATTTTTTGTATTATTTTCAAAACATATTTTGTGTTGTCAATTATCATGATTTATAGTATTTTTACGCAATTTTTAAATATAAAAAAAATAAGACAAATAAATTAAAATGGACCCAATATATGTTATTTTTGTTGTCTCAATTTATGTGACACAAATGAAATTTGGAGAGTCATCCAAATTTTCATATTTTTTTAAAAAATGTTTTAAGTCATTAATTATTGTGATTTATAATATTTTTATGTAACTTTGAAATAACGTACATTACTGGTCACTTTGTCCTAATTTATGTGATATGGATAAAATTACAAAATTAACCCTTTTAAAATGTCTTTCAGATATTTTAAGTTGTTAATTATTATTATTTATAATACTTTTTTGGTAATTTTAAAATGATATGTGTTATTTTTTCTGTCCCAATATATGTGAGCCTGATAAAATTCTGAGAGTCAACCTATTTTATTATATAGCTTTTAAATATTTTAAATTGGTAATTATTGTAATTTTTAATGCTTTTTAAGTCATTTGTAAATGATATATTGGGACTTTTCCATTTCCTTGATTGAGACTTTTCCATTTGTGACATATATTCTACTATATTATAAAAGTATATATATATATTCTACTATATTATAAAAGCTTTTAAAAGTTCCACAAGTATAATATATAATATTGAAGATTGGAAAAAGTCCCAATCTTGAATATTATATATTATATTTGGGCCTAAACTCCCTTTTATAATATAGTAGAAAGTAGAAATAGAAAAATATAGCTTTTAAATATTTTAAATTGGTAATTATTGTAATTTTTAATGCTTTTTAAGTTATTTGTAAATGATATATTGAAACTTTTCCATTTCCTTGATTGGGACTTTTCCATTTGTGACATATATTCTACTATATTAAAAGTATATATATATATATATATATATTCTACTATATTATAAAAGCTTTTAAAAGTTCCACAAGTATAATATATAATATTGAAGATTGAAAAAAGTCCCAATCTTAAATATTATATATTATATTTGGGCCTAAACTCCCTAAACCTCATAGTAGAAAATACAGTAGAATAGAATTTGAGTTTGGTCAAGTAATGATATCTTTTCCCACTTAAAAAAAAGAAAGTTTAGAATATCTCAAAATTGTTTTTGCCCTTCAATTCATCAAATCATATTCAAACTTTTTGGTCCCTTTGGATATTGTGGGGATTACGTCATTGCATACAATTTCATGTGGCCCTATGAATGAGTGAGACCTTCAAACTCTTTTCTAACAAATAAAAAATATATTGCACTAATAATACAAATTAAAGTTCTTTCTTCATGCATCATCACATTCAGCCCCTCTAATTACCAATTATCAACAAAGGCATTGTTTATATCATGAGTTAATTCATCAAGAATAGGGATACATCTCATAAATGGTCTCATATTATGTCCTTAAAAAAATCACGTTTTTTAAAAGTTGGAGGTAGGGGAAGGGAAAATGAAAAAGGGGATTACAATGTAAAAGTTCGGACAATCAACCAACAAAACTACTAACACAAGCGTTACAATTGGAAAACTAAACTTTTGGATGAGTAAAACAAATATAAAGCTTTCTAATTTATATGAACTACACTTTTCAAAAACTAGGTTGGATCGAGTAGAGTTTAGGTCTACATTTATAAGATTAAAATAAAATAAAAAGATTAAAATACAGGGCAAAAGATTATTACTCATCGAAATATTAAGATTTGAAATTATGATTTTTGTGTTAGTACGTAAGACTAACTTTTGTGATTTTCTAATATAGACAGATAGGGTACCAACTTGCACAAGATCTAGTCTAATAAATCCACATTTTGTTAGATTTAACTTTTTGGCATGGAAACAAAATGTCCTATCAATGAATAAATTAATCTACAAATGTCAACAATCTCTTTTTTATAGATTTAACTATCTCTTTTTCATAGACTTAAATTTTAATGAAATATATTAATATACTAACATCTACAATCTCTTTCTCCATATACGAGATCATCAATGCTTGCTACTCTATCAAAAGGCAAAGCGCTCCACGAGTGGACGTTATCGGCCTCAGAGGAGAGGGAAGGCAACTGGCCATTGGTTGTATACCTCTCCCTACGGGGGATCGGAGATGAACTAAATGAAAAGACTATTGTCCCTTCAACAACAACAACATATCCAGTGAAATTCCATGCAGAGCTTACTATTACCTCGTGGAGGTACTGTTTCCAAAAGATCCTCTGGCTCAAGTGCAACAAATCCCGATATAAAAAGGTAGGAGACAATGAAAAGTCCCCTATCCCAACTCTTAATGACATGATAGGTTAACAAGAATGATAAGACACAAGGATAGTGGTATTTCATTTCAGTAAAGGGATTCAACAGAAGTTGTACAAAAGTGTGGACCTGATGTATAACTTCCTTTGTTGGATTCAACATTATGTGCAGTTCAAGACAAACAATGCACATCCGTGAGCGTTTACTGACATAGATATTGAATCCTTTATGGCTCCAAGATTTGTGCCACTCCACACTTCTGTGCCTGAGCACTTTGAACTTGTAGCATGAATCGCGTTGGTTATGTCTGATATCTTTGCTGACATTTTTGTCACCTGGTTGTTCAAATTGAAGAAAGCCAAATAGATCTCTCCTGAAAATGTATCGAACAGTGTACAGATATCAGATTGCAATAATCTAACAAGGGTTAAATTCCACGCACCAACAGTGTGCTGAAGTCTTTTTACATGTAACTATTCATAGCGAATCTAATACGGTTAACTGAGAAATAGCCTGCTATCATTGGTTCAACTGCACAGATAATGTAAAAACTCTTTATACTGTCTTAACTATTCATAGCAAGCCCAATATGGTAACTTGAGAAATAGCTTGCTATTATTGGTTCAACTGCACAGATAATGTAAATACAACTTAAAACCATCTAATAATTGATCTGCAAACTGTACTCGCAGGCGCTGATGTGCTTACTGCGTATATATTTGCAATGATCTATAATACATGTAGGATTACAGTGGACTCACTTTGTTCCATTTTATAGCTTTAGGAATTGCTCAATGCTAAGGAACCACATACCATAGACCAAATTTCTAGACAATTAGCTCGTATCTTATAACGCACAACAGTGGTCTTACATCAAATTTTCTTACTCCCTCGGTACCTATTATTTCAATCTTAGATATTTGTTTGAGTTACAAGCATAGAAGCTTACTTGCATCTCCTTAACTTTAGGCTAATTACTGTAAACTTCCCCAACTGTATCCCTTTATTCAGACTCGCAAAAACTTAACAAAAAAGCATGTATATATTTCACTATCATCCATTAAAGACATTCTCCTTTAGAGTTAGTGATATATGTTGTCTCTCTATGGAATAAACTTTTCATTTGAGAAACCATACCTCTCCTTCCAGTTGCAAGCCAGGACCTAATTCCACCAGAAGAAGCTGCATGAAAAAAGAATCAGTACACAGTATTAGGTATCAATCTCTAAGTTGGACATAAATCAGTGCAGTGTAGGCAAGTTTTCCAGATGAAAAAAAAATAACCTCTGACAAAATCCATGATAGCACAAAGACCGGAATAACTATTCATGAGGGTTCCATTGTAGTTCTCCCACATCTGTTATGCAAAAATCAGCAGCAAATTTAGATGAAACTACAAGAGTCTCCATTTATTCAAAGAAAGCACAGAACTACTTGTGGCATGAACTGCTGCTAATAGAATAGGCCATATGTCTCAAAATTCAAACTGAATTACCTGGTTGGCATGTGATCTGCACCGTGAAAATGAACCTCTGCTGATCTCGTTAGCTGTAAGCTTTCTATTTGAAGATGCACCAACACAAAGTTCTGTTCTCTCTGTTACCAATAAGTGAAGTCTCCCGAGATTTTGGTGCTGATATACCATCTCCCCTTCTCTGCATGAAGAACAATTTATCATGAGCCAGGAAGATCGAAAAATATAGCATAACAAAATCACTATCGAATTCGATATATCAGAGGAAGTTGAAGATATTTACGATGCTGAAAGTGCTTCTCTCTTGTTTAGACAAAACGGTGCCTTGCGTTTATTTGAGTTCTCTTCCCAGCACACTTTCTCTACATTATTGTCAAGAACTTTAGTAGACCAGCCATTTGCCTTTACATCTTTGCAGCTCCTTAAAGCCAAAACTCTCGTCTCCAACACATTTATTTTTTCTTTATCCTCAGTATGGTTACTCAAGCTATGTTTTCCAGTTGAACTTAAGGAGCCTGTCACGTAATGAAACTGCATTTGAAAATATCAGCTTAGGATTGAACTGTATGCCTAAGTGAATACAAAAGTTGAGTCAATTTAAATTTATTCACATGCCTCCATGTTGTTAGAGCTAAACCAGTTAATCTCTAACAGAGTAGGATTCGTAAGAAGACTGAATGTAGCATCATCAAGCTTTCTCATATCTCCACCAAAGATGAGAGGGACCTGACCATGGACCATAGAGTCACCTGCCAGAAGATCCATAGAATACAAATCGATCACTTGAGCTATGTCATATTTGCAGAAGCACTGCAGAAAAATTACCTGAGTACGTTGTTCATCCAGATTAAGCCTGCAATATCTGTGTGGACCATCATTTGAACCTGCACCAAAACGGAGTATAATATTTCGTGCCGGATTTTCCTCCTTGTTTTTCCCAAGAGGAAAACATAATTCTGCGTCGGAGGAGAATCATAGTAACCAAATTTGGTTGATGTTAAATCCTAACCAAGTGAGCTAAGCACAAGAAATTGTAGATGTTTGCAATATGATCAACTTTTCTCTGTTTAACATTTAACTTAAGTCGCAAAAAATCTCTCTAGTTTGAAGATCCAGGAGCAATAATTTGTAGTTATCTCCTTAAGTTGTAACAGACAGAGAACCTTATGCTAGTGCACTTCAATAAATAGTCTCTGGTGAGGATGAATATGCATCAAACAAGTATGTATCTTTGGCAAACTTATACTAAATCCTTTCTGAAATGAGAATATTATTTTATAGTAAAACAAAAATAGAATAAAAACAATCCATCACCTGCTTCTGTTAGCCATCCAAGTGGTAGCATATCCAAGTCAGGCCACGATTTCCCCTTCAGGCCCTTGACTCCTACTAAGTTAGCAGCAGTGAAGTCCCTGGCACAAGGGTAAGGAGAAACCTATGTCAACAGCTAAATAACAAAATGGTGTCACGGACAAAGAACAAACCAGAAAATAAAATTTGAGCTGAACATAATCTGATTGTTAGAACATTGACCATACTGCTTAACTTAGAAGCCGTCAAATATATGACATATCTACGAGATAGATGAGCAATCACAATACACAATGTGATAATAAACTTTTGGCAGCAAGCTTAGAAAAAAAGAGAAAATCCTGACAAATTATTAGAACAGGTAGCATAATTTACCTCGCAACGTTGAAGTGAGCAGAGACATCTTCCCAAGTATCCCAGTCATCCCCAGTTACTCTATACATATTGACCAACCCACTAACTTCCTTCGCTATGATTGGTTTTGCATTAGTTCCAGGGGACAAGGAATATATGATAGGTCGGCTAAGCTCATTCAATACCTACAGATAAGTACACTGTTATCACATTTCTCACTTGCCATTGTTAGATGAAGTATGGATCCAAACACAAATCTTTCAGCTATTATGTTTACTTGTTCGTCCTTTCAGAAAGTAAAATCATGTCATAGATCAATTAAAAGGGGCAAGATGCAGTGGGTTAAGCAGAAAAAAGTTAACAACCTTACCTCTGAAACAACGATTATCTCATCTAAATCCAAGTCATCACCGAATACACAGTCAAGTTTCACTGAAGAAGAAAAAACAGAAAATTCCTTTAAGATAAAGCACAAAAAATTCAACAGTTAAAAGTGATTTGGGATTTTTAGCTTGGACCATCCAGACAAGGATTAGTCCTGCTTCTTAAAGAAGTTTTCCTAGAAAGCAGAATCATTGGGTTTATGACATTAAAGTTAATTTCCCATGTTATGATTTCACATGAAAATCAGACTTTTGAACACGTCAAATCATCAGCTGAATCATCATAACCCATGGAAATATATCTCCCAATAATTGTCTTGAGTAACAAATATGTCTTACCAAAATCAACACCCCAGTCAGCATATTGTTGATAGAGCGACCTAAGGAATGCTCTTCCAGCTCCCAACTTGGTATTCACACTCATGAAACCATTTTTCATCCATGCACAAGTCCTCTCCTTAATTCCAATATCTTGTGCACGCCATTGTCGACCTGCCTCCTCATAAGCTTTGCCCTGTTGGATGTATCACCAACAAGTCAAACATTTGTCATAGCTACTACTATGTATAAGAGCTTATAAGATGAACTTTATCAACTAACGTCAACACACTTAGATAAAAAATGGGTATGAACTTGCCCAAGAAGCTGCATTTCCAGTCTAATGAAATTGGACTGGATATACCAATATTTACATCTATAAATGAAAGCGGAAAGTTGAGTTGATTCTGGATAAAGAACAATACCGTAGTGGTATCCAGTATGAGGGTGTTAGCATTGAATGCTTGTAGACTTAAACCTCTCATTACATGAATCCCAAATTTCAGTCCCATGCTATGAACCTTCCCGGCAACTTCAGAAAACCCTTTTCCACCTTGAGAGGAAGGCCATCTTCCAGGGTCAGGAACCATCCTTCCCCACTCATCAAAGACATCGAAACCATAAGAATCAGTATAAGCACCTATTGTTTTCTTCCTATACCAAAGAAAGTCCACCACAACATACTGCACAGATCCAAAAGTAGACAGTTTAGAGATGAAAGCAAAAACATGTCAGAATTGTAAAAGAATCTAAATTCTACGGATTTCTTATTTTAGGGAGTGTTTAGTCTGATGAAATTCATTTCTATGGAAAATGATTTCTAGTGCTTGATGGTGAACGGGAAATAATTTTCGAAAATAATTATGTATTAGAGATTCATAATAATATTAGCAAACTACAAAGGTTGTTTTGATGAAACTTTTGAGTACTCAAAATTAATAATATGAAGTTACAGTTATAAGGAAACTACTTATGTCCATAAGTTAGGAAATTTAAATTTCCCCCTTTAGATGGAAAGCATTTTCTTGTAACCAAACACCGGAAAACAGAGAAGTCATTTTCCATCATAACAAACACACCATTAAAGCCTATTGTTATGGTTCTTGTGAAACTATTACCTCATAACCATGAGGTTTTAATCGTTGTGCTACGAGTTCTGCATTCTGAAGAAACTCTTCCTCGGTGATTGTCCAACAAAATGAGTCATAGGAGTTCCAACCCCTAGGTGGCAAGCTGGCTCGTCCAATATCGCCCTGAGATTTAGTTTCCGAGGTTTCCCTGTGGTTATGACCCGAATAATACTCAAATATATCACACTTTGATCATAAAATAGACATATCTTCAACAATACATTGCAATTCATTATCTAAGAGAAAACATTTGAAACTCAGCAATGGCCCAACTCTTTAAGCCAAAAACTTCTTCTACCACCCCGGCTCGACCCTAAGGCCACTAAAGCAATGGATATAGTATATGTTCCGTAAATGTTCCCTAGAATTTAACTTTAGGTCCCCAATCTTGTTGAGATGGTCCTAACTCTCTAACAGCCTAACAGATGCCACCATGGTGATAAATAACAGTAATGCTCAAAAGATTAGAACTTGCACACTTAAGCAAAGAGGCCAACGAATCCAGATCGAAATGCATCAGAATTTTTAGTTTTATCAAAATTACATGTGGGTTTTCTTTCTCCAGTGGATCAGAACTTATAACGAATTATTTTGCCAGAAAATAATTACCAGAAACTACCATAGAAAAGTTCAAAGAAAACCATTTCAATTGACACACTTGGAGAGCTGTAAATAGTGGAAAAGATTGAAACTTGCATCAAATAAGCTAATCTTGGCTAATAAACATCAAGCTCACATACATAATAACAACCAAAAAGCAAAGAAATTAAACTAATTCTGAAATTCCATGAAATGGGTATCTCTCAAATTTACCCTTTAGCTAGAAAATAAAGAGCAGAAACTACAACATCAAAGTTTATAGAGTATACCAGTGAAGGAAAAGAGTAGTGAAAATGATGAAAATATAAGTTTTCAAGATCATCCCTTTTTCAGAGTAGTATTCTTTACTGCTAACAAGATGTACAAAATTGAGTGATTTTTAGTTTAGGTGTTCGACTATGATAGCAAAATTGAATGAAAAAAGGGTTAGTTGAGGTGTGTAAAAAAGTGTGATTGTGAAGACATAATCACCGGATGCTGTTTCGGAGGAAATGGCAAGTGTCACCTCACAAAGCTATTTTTTCTGTTATGCCTTCAGGACCATGAGGTGGAGTACCAATTGTAATAATCAAATTAATATTGAAAAATTACTCAAATACATGTTTTATGTTTTCTTTATTTTTAATATCCCTTTTTATTTTTAAAAATCTCTAAAATCTTTTATTTCTTTAATGTATCCGAGCTACATATTAATGTATCCAGTTCAGTATTTACTGTATTCGAGCTACATATTATGTATCTGATTTATTTTATAATATATCCGAGCTAATTTTTAATGTATCTGAGTTACATATTATGTATCTGATTTATGTTATAATGTATTCGAGATACATATTATGTATCCGGTTTGTGTTACTTTTTAAGGGATTAATGTAATTACAAACTAAAGAGGGATAGATTGTAATTTCATATTAAAACTATGTGATTCCTAAAATTTACCCAATTAATAACCCCTTTGATCAAAAATTTATGTGTGATATACACTGATATGTACACGATATACAATTTAATATACACAATTATAAGCATTTTCCAACTCCGAATGGATCCTGCAATGCGCGATTCAAATTTGGTGAGAGCTTCAGACACTGAGTGAGAAATAATTTATTTTTAAAAAAAAGGTCCTAAAATACCTCTAATCTTTCTCAAATATTGTATATAGTCTTAATAAGGTGTTTCTCATCCACACAACTGACACATATTCAATCTGAAAAATATTGTAATAGTTTGACATCCTAGTTAAAATTTGATTTGCAATTCAAAAAGTGATTATTTTTTAAAAAAATTCCTTTATATTCATCTTGTAAAGTCTACTAAATGGGGAAGTTTTCCTATTAGGAGTTTATTTTTTTATTTTCAAGACTTGCATCCAACATCAAATTAAAGATAAATAAATTTTATTCATTTCACTATAATCCTTGGTAATTATTTAGTCTTTGTGCTTTGTTTGGTTTAATACAAATAGAATATAACGTGTATGATTTGAAATGCCAGCTTGACTTTTAAATTAAATAAATTTGTGTGTCCAATTTTAGTTTGGAGAACGTTGTAAAAGGCTTTAACATATAATTTTGTTATTTTATCTGTTTATTGAATATACTTAATTTTAAAAACAAAAAAAATGTACATTGAGTTAAAAGAATTTACTCATAGATTAGTGCATCTCGTATACACCTTCAGAATAGAAAGTTATTTGTGATTTCACGAGATGACGCAAGAAGGCACGTGAATAGGTCCCGACTCGCGTAGGACTTTATATATATATCATCTACTTCATTTTTTCTTCATTATTTTCATGGAGAACCTGATAAATTCATAAGCCTAGTGTTTAAGATCACTCAAATTATCAATTTTCTTGGCCTAAATCCTAGACGGAAGTTGTTCTACGCGTTGAGCTCGTCATCGTGGTATTATTTATTCCGTCAATTTCATAGTGTATCTCGGTTGGGGTTTGGGCAATAGTTGTTTTGCTTCATTTTTGAGGGTTTGAGTTCTATTCCAAATTTAAGATCAAGATAACACTCTTCTTTTACTAATTTTAACTCCGATAAACCATAGATTATATCAAAAACCTAAGAAATACTTGTAATTAAAATTTTAGATGTCTACAAAGGAAAAAGTCCAACATTGAAGTGTTTAACCCAAAAAAAAAGTTTTTTTTTTTTGTTGATGTTATTAAACTCATCTTATGTTGTTGATATTTTATTTCACCATCGGCACAGTATATATAATATAATATAATATAATACCAGTACTATGTTCAGTTGCGTGGGACAATAAATGCACCATATTTTATTTACATTTTATATATAATGCTTAATGATTATTTAATCTTTGTGATTTATTTGGTTCAATGCAAAATAAGATATAACGTGTATGATTTGAAATCTCCGTTTGACTTTAAATTAAATAAATTTGTGTGTCCAATTTTTGCTTTGAGAAGGTTGGAAAAGACTTTTTCATATAATTTTGTTATGTTACTTGTTTTGTTCGGATTCTACTGTTTTCTCATATTGAATGTGGTAACAAATTATATTATAAGTTTGATGTTAGATTTTATTGATATTACATATTAAAAATAAAAATATGATCAAATAAAATGTAAAATAAATTTTTATACTGGATTTATTTTCATAATCTTAGTAACCAAAACAAGCCTGAAAAAAATCATATGTCAAGAAAAAAGTTTCTATAAACCTTAAGAAAAAATTAATAAAAATGTAGTTTGACTAATATATTTTTTATTAATTCTTTAATCTTTATCGATTTATGTACTCCTTAATTCTAGAATAATTAATATAAAGAAAAAAAATTAAAAATTATCTCTTAATTGTTTAAATTGATAATTATTTTAGAACATATATTTTAATATACATGAGAATTAAAAAGAAACGAAGGACTACTACTTAATACTCCCTCTGTCCCTAATTACTTGTCCACTTATCCTTTTTTAGTTTTCCCTAATTACTTGTCCATTTTGACAAATCAAGAAAGGACAAAAAAAAAAATCTATTATACCCTCAATTTATTACTTTGAAAAATATAGAACTTCTTGAAAATCTTAAGTTTTTAATTCATTCACTTTCTAATTAATAGGGGTAAAATGGTAAACTCACTGTATCAATTATTATTTTCTTAATAGGTGTGTCAATTCAAAAGTGAACAATTAATTAGGGACAGAGGGAGGAGCATTTACTAGACTTGTTACAAAATATTCGAAAAACATTTACTTTAATCAATTGACATAAATATAATACTACCCACCTTATTAAATCAAGCAAACGAACACCAAAGACGTGCTAATTAGTGACAAATGAAAATTGCTAATTTTGAAGTAATAACTTATTAATGACATAGTTTGAGAAAAAAACAAAAATTACTACATATGGTTATTGTAGGTAGAATATCTTTTCAAAATTTTAGAATAATATTTTAATTGTTATTGTATAATTAGACGTTTTTTCCAACTTACTCTTACTCCTCTGAATCATTTTACTTGTCATTTGTTAGTTTAACTGCAACAGAAATATATGTTTTGACAATCACATTCTTATTTATTATTTTTAATTATTTAAAATGTTTATATATTTTTAATAAATATTCACTCTTTAATCTCTCTTCAATAAATAAAATGAGAATTAATCTAAGCAATAATAATATTGATTGACAAACTAACAATACATCACAAACCCCACTAGTTTAACAATATTTCTGGAGATCCCATCTTATATTAGGTGTAGATTTGCTATTTGGTCTGGGCTAGAACAATTTTAAACTGTGTTAATATAATTTAACATACCATATATACATTCATACCATATATATTATTCTATCTGTACTTTTTCTCTAAATAATTATGTATCTTATCATTAATTAAGAGTTGCATATCATATAATAAGGAATATACACTTAGATACATGTATTTTTGCTACCGAATACACTAAAATAGGAAGAGAATTGAAGCGAGTGAGATGGGAAAGGAAGCGAGTGAGATAGTCATGTATCTCAAATACATGCTAATAACACTGGATACACGCCAGATACATGTATCTGGTATGATTTACATGTGTTATCATATACATAGGAGAGTGACGAGCGAGATGAGAGGAAGGCAAGGGAAGCAAGCGATCTGTTATGTATCTCAAATACATGCGAATCCACCTAGATACAATGTATTTAGAACAAATTACACATACTTTTGACCTCGGAATACATGTATCTAGACGTATCCAGACACACCAAAATTTGACAAGATTCATAATATTGCAAACTAAAGTGTATCTAAGTAATTAGCTCATAAATTAGTTGAAATTTCCATAAGTTTCCCTAATTTAAACCCTCTTCTTAAAGTACCTCTTGGGTCATTCACACTTTTGCCTCTATTTTTTGTTCATCTTTAAATTTTGTCTCTTGAGATAAAATAATTTTTCACAGAGCATAAGTTTATATTTTCACATCATAATATCTCACAAGTTATACCCGAACCTTTAAAGAGAACATATGTCCGGCTAAACATAAGTTTAATTTTAAGGGGTAAAAAATAAAAATCAACCCCTTTATAAGACAAAAGTTAATAATCAATTCATTTAAAAGGAAAACCATACCATTAAATGATATCTTTCCCAAGTTATGCCAATATGGATTGTGAACCTCAGGACTGAGTACAAATTTATTTAAATAAAGAGAAAAGGACGATTACATTATTAGGATTGTAGTAGTTATCTAAATAGTTTGACAATGATAACACAGCCACCCATTTGGGATAGGCATTTTATTCCTTCTAAAAAATATCCAACTTCCCTGCTATAATGTGAAATTTGCTAAATTTGATTATTATCGTCCAAAATGGCAACTCTAACAAAGAATTAAATAAATTCAAACAAAAGTAATTCACCATCACCTCTTACAATATCTTTTTCAAATAATGCAGAAACCTAATTTATGCATCTGTATGTCACGACTCTCTACTTGTTAATAGAAATTCATGTCCATCAAATAAGAAAAAACCATTTCAACACGCTTGGAGTTTTCTAGGAACAAGAAAACACTCTTTTAAGTAAATGGATAATAAATTTTTCTGTTTTTTTCTTATTTCTGTTTTGACTGTGTTTTGAATGACAAGTACATATACTGGATATTACAATCATTCAAAGATTGGAAATTTAATCTATATATCAACAGCACAAGAATTAAAACGTGAAGCAGTTGACTTGAAGACATTTGTGTATCTTGCGATGCACCAAATTGCCCATGAGATATGATCTGTGTTCAAATGAAATGAAAGAAGCTTTTTTCTATTACTGCAAATAATATACATTATATCATGAAACAATTGAGAATAAATTGATATTCCAGAATACAAAACTGTATTGGTGTCTGCGCCCAACGAAAGTAGATCATAAACACAGATGTAGCAATACAGGGCCGCAGCTAGAGAGAGCCCACTCTTACTTGCCAGTTGCTGAACTCTTGTGTTAATACTCTTCAGGGACTACAACATTCTATCCATTCTGGGATCCCCATGTGTAAATTGCCTCGTAATTTTAGCTCTGTT